TAAATATTTTGTGTTTATTTAACTTATATCCTGACAAAAGTGTAATAAATCCATAATTTTATAATTAATTTATATAAAAAATTATAAATATTGACATTTATTTTAACACTATGCTACCAACTGACAAAAGTGTAATAAATCCATAATTTTATAATTAATTTATATAAAAAATTATAAATATTGACATTTATTTTAACACTATGCTACCAACTGATTAGATTAAAATCAATATTTATATTTTTTTATAAAAAAATTAATTATAAAAAATACGGTAAATACATTCTTAAACTAAGGGTACATGATAAAAAAAAATATTATAAACAGTAGATCATTTCTATTAAACTTGAAATTTTCATGCTCCTTTCCAGATGTTAACTCAAATCAGTGTTCTTACAAAAGGGGAAATAAATAAGGGACCAAACAACTAATTCTTTTTTCAAAAACGAAGAGATAGAAATGTTAAATATACTTAGTTGCTTCCACCATTTGGGCACTTAGAGCATGTACTATGGAAAACAATGAAAAACTTGTAGGTGTAGTTGTAGATTATTATTATTATTTTTTTTGTTTTTTTAATAATTTAAAAATATATAAAATATATTTAATATATTGTTGAAGGTTGTTTTATCAAGAGCCAAGTTGGGGCCTATACCTCTAAGTTCCTGTTAAGGTAGAAAAGGGTTAATTTTTTAAACCAGTGGGAGATGCATTAATATTACCCCAAAGTCCTCGCTAATACAAATAAAGAGCTGAATTTCTCTAACAATAGGGAGATGCATTGACATTATTCCCAAGTCTTGCTAATGCAAACAAAAGACTTAACTTCCTTTATCAAAGAATCTCTACCATTATGGGAACAAACCAAGGTCTCCTCCATTTTGGGCAAAAGACCGAGTTTTGGAAGGCATTGACTCCTTGTGATGTAAAACCCACCAAAGAGATAGGCCATCCTTTTGCAGTTGCCCATGCATGATACTGCAATGCTTAGCAAGCTAAACAACTAGGACCACATCCTTTGATAGAGTGACATTGATGTAAAGTCCCCACCACTTGTGGATAATCAACTTAGTCCTTTCAAAATCCCTGTTAATGACGAATGACGAATGACGAACAATAGACTTAGTTATCTCAAAGTTTTTGTTAATTAAGGACACCAAACTTAATTATTTTAAAGTTTACCATTTACAGAAAACAAACTTAGCTTCTTTAAAGTCGCTTTTAATTACGGACAATAGACTTAGCTATCTTAAAGCCCTTAGCACTTGTGGATAATAGACTTACTTCTCTCAAAGTCCATATAAATGATGGACAACGAACTTAGCTTTTTCAAAGTCCCCTTTATCATGAATAATGGGCTTAGTTATCTCAAAGTCCCTATCACTTACAAATAACAATCTCAATTATCTTAAAGTCTTCACTATTTGCAAACAACAGACTTAACTTCTTTAAAGTGCTTATCAATCATGGACAACAAAATTAGTTATCTCAAAGTTCCCATCAATGCATATAAAGAACTTAGCATCGGAAGACATTGGACTCCTTTCCACAATATAAATTCATCAAAGAAATGGATCATTCTCTAATGGAATGATAACATGAGTGAGATGACAGTAACCTCTCTTATGATTCAAGTTGTTATAAATGAAATGCCAAACACATTGGCTAGATGGCATATTGGCAAACACGGCACTACCCACACCTTTGTCATATTATTAACAAATCAACATTGACCATACCTTTGTTGCCATATCCTTATATCGAGCTTGACACTAATTATGCCATATGACAATTTGATAATATGACCTAAAATTGATCATATCTTCATTCATTACGCTATTTTCATAACATGACCTGGGATTATCTATATCCCTTTACCATTTCATTTTGACAACATATTTTGGCATTGTCCATGTTTTCTCATTATTTCATTTCGACAATAGTCTCAACATTGTCCATATCTTTTCATTAATTCATTTTGACAATATATCTTGATATTGTCCATGTTTCTTATTATTTTATCTTGATAATACATCTTAGCATTGACCATGAACTTGTCATCATTCTTTCTTTCACAGCTTATCAACAATATAAGGCTAAATTATAGCCAAGTAAGGTAATGCTTGAGTGAGAAAAGTCACTATACTTGCTCACATGCTTTTAGATAAGTTTTCCATTGTCATGACCCAACGTTGTTGACAAACAAATGGTAAGAGAGCATGCACTTCGCTCCTAACACTATGCTAAGAAAAGCATCATTATACCATCTTGCTAATACCTTTCCCCAATAATGTCTTGGTGAGTGGTCTTCTCAACACCCATCACTAGCATTATGTAGAAGTTTGGATCATTGTCAAGTTATTAACTTCTAATGAATAAGAAAGAGAAGCTAGTACAAAAAGTGTAAAAGTATGATAAGGAGATTCAAGTGAAGCCATTAAGTACTAGTAGATGGATGAGTCATCAATAAGAATTCCAAGAAGTAAAGTTTAATGAGCATTAAAAGTTTGTAATATGGACAAGTAAAAGCCTTGGGGAAACCAAGGAGATTTTCCATTGTCCAACATAATGTAACACCACTATGAAAAACTAGGGGCCAAACCATTTTTTTCAACCTCCCAACCTAGTATTTTCCAAAATGATAATTTAGTTTTTAGCCAATTTAAGCAATTCTCTTCCTCTTTTTACCAACCAAACTATACTTTATTAACCCATAAGTAGAAGGGTAAAGTAAGAACCACCTTCAAATGGCGATAAGTCTCATCATTTTAGAGGAAGAATATGATCCAATGGTTTTTAAATATACAAAGTTACCCTTTCACCTTTCTTTATTTTCATGATCATTAGATGCATGATATCACCAAATTTTAGATTTCATCTTTTTTATCTAGAGTTTGAAGTATTTCCTCTCCTTCTTTCTAGAGAAATCCCCAAAACCACCATGAAAACATTCATGAAAGGTCAAGGATGCATGGAAACAAAAGGTTTATTACTTTTTAAGTATCATCAACTTTTTCTTCCTTAAATTTCTAAAAGAAAACATCATCTAAAGTTTACAAGAAAACAAGTTGCTACACTCTCCTCTATGAGCAAGATTTGCACGCGAAAGGCCCCTTGATTTTAAGAGATCCATATGCTAGTTTCTAGAGGTCTATTTTTACTTCTCCTACCACTACCTTTAACCTTTTCCTGTTATTGTAAAATTTGATTTTGATATAATGAGGAGAGATCAGATAATCTCCATGAAAAAGAAATTAAAAGAAATGAATTTATTTTTTATTTTTATTTTTATTTTTTTGTGTATAAACATCATTGTACAGCAAGATGATTAATTTCTTATTTGAGTGAGTTAGTGGGTTTTTTACCTTGCTAGCCATCCCAAGTCACTCATTGAAGAAACAATTTCACAAGTTTGTCCATCACTACATTGTCAAAAGCATGAGGTAGAGAATCTAACACTTAGAATCTTCTTTCCTTAAGTTGTATTAACCAACAAACGCAATCTTTCAACAATATAACATCAATTTATTGATGAGTATCACCAAAGCTCAAGATTGATGTTGACATTTTCTCCCATTCTTTAAGTTGTATTTCTCAAAGAAAGTAGTCCCAAGACTTATAATTCTACATATTTCATCAAAGTTTGTCACATCACCATTTGATTCTACTTTGACAAAAAAAAAAAAAATACTAGCAATTATAGTTTCTACAAAAATGAATTAAGTTTTATTTTATTTTACACTACAAGAAAGATAGTTTGTTTCCCACATTTATTTTCTTGCATTGATAGAAATGTTCGTCAACTATTTTATTCTACATTTTTAGGTCATTATCGGCTATGTTTATATGGCATTTTGGCAAACATGGGTATACTTTGTGAATTCCTACATTTTTAATAACAAGCACTAACAATTATATTTGTTTTTTACCTTTAGAATTTAAAATGCTAGCAATGAATTGAAAATGGCAGGAATGAACCAATGCCAAATGTTAGCTAATATATGTTAAATAAACAACATATTTTTTTTTTCTAATACTAAAAAAAATTGATTTCCTAATTATTTTGTTCTAAATGCATTGTCTTCCAAACTTCTTCATTTCTTCTTTTCTATTCTTGTTTCTTCTCAAAATTTCTCCACTTAATCTCCAAAGCTAGAATTTCTTCACAAAATTTCCAATTATCTTCTCTGAATGTCTGATTAAAGGTTCTCCAATAGAGAAATTAGTATCTAAAATGCAAATTGAAGGTTTAATTTTGCTCTCATTTTTTATTGAAAGTTTAGCATTTCACAAACTAAAAGTTTAGGTTTAATCATCATCCCCTTTCACCATGTTTCTTCAATCAATGTCTAAGCCAACACACTTGAGCTATTTCAAAGAGGATTAAGAGAACTCGTTGATAGATTACCACAACAACCTCCATTGTCTAGCCATTGCTAACTCTAGCTAGGTAATCTTCTTTTGTTGTTTTCCTTTTGTTTTCTTGTGATATTAACTTATTTGCATGGTATAAATTGAAAGATTTTTTCATTGAAGGTTTGTGACAGTGGTAACAGAGTTTGATTTAGAGATTCTTTCCTAAAGAAGATCTTTCAATTTCCTTTAGTTATGGTCTCTAATTCTAAACTATAATTTTCTTTTCTTAGTTTTTTCCTTCATTTTTATCTTGTGTGTTTTTGTGTTTCTTAACATACAGTAACTTAACATTGAAAGAATATTTAAATTTAACTTATAAAATTAAACATAAATGAGAAAGTTAGAAATATGTTAAGAATATTGCTATAAAATTTTTTCATTTAGACACAGAACATATGTAATTAAGCATGGAGTTAAAAATTATTGTGATCTGCCAATCTTTTAGTAGCTATTGTATTTTTCCACTACCACAAAACATAGATCAAAGCATCAAATCCATAATTTCTATTGCTAAAAGGAAACAATTTTGGTAGTAGTGATTTCAAAGTTTTATTTTTTTATCCATTTATTACAAAAATAGATAACTTAGTCTTCCACATTTACCTTTATTTGCCTTCATATATGTCTTAGCCTGACTTTTGTTAATATCCAATTTGTTTTCTTTCTTTCCTTCTTTTGGTTTGTTTATCTGTTCTTTCAAATGTGCCTAATAGTTGAGATAACAACATAGAAGTTCAAAAGATTTGTTATATGCTTGATTAAAGCATCAATGTTTCAACTAATGTAATGTTAAATATCACTATCAATGTATCAATTTTGTTTAATATAATATAAGTAAACTTTTGTCCTTTATACCACTTACCACCACTTCATGGATGAGATTATATGGATTTGTTTGTTGAGAGACATCTTTCTAATATAATTTATGCACAAAATGGATGCTATTTCTCTTCATTTTGAGTATGAAGAATTTCTCTAGAATTATCAAATTTTGACATTGAAGATAAAGGAAAAAGAACCGATTTCTTCAAAGTGTCCTCTAATTTACAGTATTTTTTGGGGCCAAAGTTTTGCTATATTAGAAGCACTTTTTTTTCACCTTATTTGATTCTAATGTGAGCTTCTTCTAGATATGCTAATGTTCTTGTAGTATGGGTATGACAGTGCATAGTTGTTGTGAAGCTTTTACGCAAGGTACTATTATGATCATTTTTTATTCCCTTAAACTTCCTTTAAGCACTAATTTATTAGTATGCTCTCCAAGAGTTAAAGGTTAGAAATATCATTTTTGTAGTCAATATCATGGTGACCCATCACTTTTTATTATATATAGAAGCACATCTGGACATTAATGTGAAAGTAGCTTATTTTGGGGTTATACAATATAAAGCACTTTTGATTTCTTATGAAATATTGAATTTAATAATTTAAATTTTGTACTAAGATAAAAAAAAAAGGATAAAATCTATGTTGGTCTATAATCGTTTGTAAATGTGGTAAAACCTTATTGATAATTCAACTTTTTAAGAATTTTGAAGCTGGAACACTTGTCGCCATTTAAAGGGACATGTTGATCACATGATAGGCATTCCAATGCATTTTAGGTGTGAAATAGCCATTCTAAAAATTTTATCTTCAATTGAACCCTTAGGTTCTAGTTCTTATAATTTACATGATTGTAGAAAGGTTGATCTTTTTGTCAATTTGACTCTCCACTCCTTTGCTCATGGTACTTTCTTGATTCTATAGGAAATTAAGGTGAAAGGAAACTTATGGATATGCTTTCCTGCTAAGCAATTTTAATTGGGGATCTTTTATTTGATTAGTATTTTGTTTGCATTGTAGGGTCAATAAAAAGTGCCAACCTTTCTAGGTCATGCATCTTAAAGTAATGATGCTATTGGTGGCAACAATGGAGAACAGTTAGATATGATATTTCAAGGCTATAATGAGTTTAATTGTTGGTAGCAATGTCATTGTTTTGGGTGTTTTGTCATTGAATATGACAACTCAAGCTTTGAGATACTCTCAAATATTATTATACACTGTTTGGATTTGATATTCAGCTTTTGAAACTTCAGCATTTGTATACTATTTAAGCATTGTTGTTATGTCTTTTTTGGATATGACAAAAGCATTTAATAATATGTCAATTTTGTACTGATTTTTGAATAATTGATGACATATTTGGTTTGATTAATTGTGCCCTAATTTTAAATGATTTTGTCAACAGATGATTATGTTTTAGTAATAAGAAAATAATGAAAAGCCAAGAAAAA